CTTTACCAGCACAGTGAGTCGGGCGTTTGTTTGAAGTATCTCAGGTCAAGGGGCTGTGTGAAGTGACGAGCGTCGTCGTTCGAACGTCGGCCGTTGTATTGAGTGTGTCGAACACACGTATTGTGCTGACTGTTGTGTCGAGTGTTGTGTGTTTTAGTTGGCAATGTTCTGTTCTTATATATGTTGAGTGGACCGTAAAAAACAACAGTGTGAAAACATGTGCCCTCAAGGAGTTCACAGAGCCCGTTTATGTCCAAAATTCGGATTCATGTCATGGTGTTGTTCCGTGATAAACGTTGTGACATGTGGAACAAAAACAAGGCGGGAGGGAGACAGTGGAAGTTTATGCACCAATCAGCTTAGGTGACTACTACACCCCCACCGAGCCGCAGTGTGTTACCTAAATTTGGTTCACTTGACGTGGCCGTGCTTGCGATCTGATTTGCGCCTCGGGTTTCACGTAGCATTCGACCCCTTGTCCACCGTGGAGAGCATTCCCAAATCTTGGAATCAGTGTCTGACCTTCGTGTGATTCTTTTGGCACCCCTTCTGCCGGCTTTCCTTTCTTAACTTTTCGGATATTAGTAGAACGCTCTACATGAATCCGCGACTGTTAACTGAAGGGTTCGAACCGCGGATAATTCGTTGCAGGCTGCTGCGTGATTCACCGGTGGTAGACGACAGGAGCTTAATAACCGCTGCGTCGCGTATGCTCCCTCTGGTCTCTGGTTTGGGTCATCCTGACGGTATGCCACCCACAAGTTGGAAATAAACACTATCATTATTAACTGTGGCGACCACAAAATTGCCAGGACGTGGTGTTCTCGTGAATGTATCAGAGTCATTTGCAGTTGTTTCGTTACAAACGATTTTACGGAGCTGATCCAAGAGTTCAAGCTCATTACTCCAATCGGGGACGTAGAGACCATGACCTGTATGGTTAGTGAGGTAGTAAGTACAGCCGGCACGGAACAGCTCAGTTTCTCACTCAGTTTGAAGCTTCATCAGATGCATTACAAACGGTGCACTTTGTGTGTTCCACTGGTGGCCCTCCAATTATGTGGTAAATTTGTTTCGAAATCAGAGTGAGATAAGAACCTGTATCAAGTTGGAGGAAGACCGGCCTGCCACTCACGCACACTGTGATGAGTTTACCTCTACGGGTGATTTCATCCTGAATATAGCGGTCACATCCATCCTCTGCGTCCTTTTGTCGGGTCGGCTTTTGCGCGAACTCCGGAAGTTGTCTTCGCAGCATTCTTCGTTGTGACACTTTCGACTGCACTTTCTGTGTTTCCGGTGGGGACGGTGGCGTGAGTAATGCCAATCTACACAAAACGAACAAGGTGTGGGTGGCTTTCCTGGAGTTCGTTTAGAATTTGGTTTCCTTTTGGATGTTGCTCTGCATACTATATCAGGATGGAAGAGTTTGCAGCATCAGCCTTGAGACCGGCCAGATGTTGGCGTTTGGTAGTAGGTTTCTGAAGCGTCAACTCTGCGTCCTGTTTAATCCGAAGTTGTAGCCGGGTGCGAATATCTACGTCTTGTGACGATTGAAGACCAGTCACGAAGATGAGACGTTCGAATCGATCCTCAGTCATGAGGCTGAACTTAACGCGCTCGCATTCTCCGTTGACCACACCGGCATAAGTGATGAAATCTTCAGTATCCCTTTTGGTAATCTTGATACACCGATAACGAGTATTGAACAGGGAACTCTGCTCACTGATATCTGGGCCAGGATTTTGTCAGCATCTCCGAAGCCAAGGTAACAACGAGGTTTGGGGATTATGAATGTTGTAAACCGATCATATTATGCTGTCACTAGTTTCCGCACCAACAGTCGAACCTTCCATGCATCATCGAAATGTGCAAAGTCGGTCTGAAATATGTCCTCATATTTCTTGAATCAACTTTCTTAAAGTTCGTCCAGGATCAGCGGCGCTGTCACACCTGCATATCTCTGCTGTCTCCTCAAGGCTCGATAGTAGCTCCGTTCCTGAGCTCCCTTCTGGTGGTACGGTTGGCATGCACCGAAATGGCTTCGCAGCTGCGCGGTTATTTATTTGTTTACAGCAGAATCGTCTTGAGAAAATATTGTTAGGAGGAATCGGGCGTGCTTTTGAAATAACTCTGAATTTGCATGCGGCCACTCGACAACAGGAGGGCAGTCAACAATCCTTCGTCCCAAGCTTCATTGTGTTCTCAGGTAAATTCTTAAAGAGGAGTCACTGCACAAAGTTAATATAATCGATGCGCAGCTAGAACGAGGGCCACAATAGTTCTCTCGGGATTGCCGGACTCACACACAAAGTGAACATATTTTAAAAATGAACGCCACTACTTACTCGCTCTGTTCGCCTCAAAGATATCCACCCAGAGGAAGGCAGCTAAGCCAACCAAGGACTGATCAAAAAAGCGACACTGCCACATTTGATCTCAGCAGGTTGGTGTTGGTCAGGACTGGTTGCACAGTGGCATTTGCGGAAGGCTAATGCGAATTTCAGAATCAGCAGGTTTTTTAAGTTTACCGTCCACACCTCTACTCTGTATAAATGCGGGTTGCCCGTTTTGGTCTATACTGTCCATTCCGGATATTTGCTTTTTTCTGAGATGAT